TATTGAAACTTGTCTTTTTTTTCTATACAAATAGGCTATATAAAAAAATTACAGCCTAATGATATCTTTGATTTCTGCGATCACCATTCTTACGCACCGTATTCAATTTTACATTATTTTATTACACCAGTTCAGACAAACTGCGGTACTTAAATCAATCAATCAATCATTTTACACTTATTAGCACTGACTGCCCATTTGACCTTGTGGTCGTAAACGCGACTGATGATTGGAATGGATTATTGATTTTTCTGACAAGAAGTTCTGAGTAGCAGCCAGGAGTCAAGAAGTTGATAGGTGCACAGGTTGTGGAAGATTTAAAGCCTCGACTTCAGAAGCTATTATGCAGAAATTTTTTTTTTCTTTTCGTTTTTTAAAAAAAAACGTTACCACCGCACTAGGATTTTCTCCTGTATCGTGAAGGCTGTTTACAAACATAAATTGCACGAGGACAAACATCCAGACCCGTAACAATTATTTATAGGCCATACAAATACTTGTTCCGTGCGGGATTCGAACCCGTGGCCCCCAGCGCAACAACTCATTGCTAAGCCACTGCGCCGCGGAGCCGTCATTCCTTTGAGTTATTTCAAGACGGCTTTTACTCTTTCTTAAAAGTTTAATGGCCCTTTTTAGTGGATTAAAGAATCTCACAAGCGAAAGTTAATTTGTAATTTGTTAGAAAAATGTAACGGTTAATGTTTATTTCTGTAATAGCCCAAAAATTATAGAGCAAGTTCCTGAGGAATTGTTTTGTATATTAATATAATACTCTAGAAACTGATAAACGTTTATTTAAAACTAACGTATTAAATAAATGACGCCGTGTAACAATAAACCTTAGCTCCAACTAGCGATCTGGTGAGTGCAAAAAACGGAGGAGGTTCTCAATACGACTATTTTTTTAATGTGTATTACCTTAGAAGTTTTCTAGGTGAACCGATTTTGATGGTTATTTGAAAGCTGGTGTTTCTCATGTGGTCCCATATAAATTAGATCCGTAGTTTTTGAGTTATCCTTAATAATGCGTATTATGTAATTGACTTCGACTACATTGGTGATCTTCTCGTCAGGTATACCTCAAAACTTGAAAACGAGACTGTACACCCAGTGCGTGTTGCCAGTGATGACATACGGGACTGAGACGCGGTCCTTCATTGCTGGCCGGATGAGGAAGCTCAAGGTCGCTCAGCGAGCTATGGAGAGGGCTATGCTTGGAGTTTCTCTGCGTGAAAAACTCAGAAATGAGGATATCCGCAGTAGAACCAGAGTGACCGACATAGCCCAACGGATTAGTAGGCTGAAGTGGCAATGGGCCGGCCATATAGCTCGAAGAACCGACAACCGATGGGGAAGAAAGGTTCTCGAGTGGCAGCCTCGTACCGGCAGGCTAAGTGTAGGGCGTCCCCCCACTAGATGGAGTGACGACCTGGTAAGATATGCAGGAAGTCAATGGATGCAGGTGGCTCAGGACCGTGCTTTGTGGCATTATTTGGGGGAGGCCTATGTTCAGCAGTGGACTTGTGAAGGGCTGTAATGATGATGATGATGACATTGGTGATGTTATCATTTTACTGGAACGAAATTCCTTATCGTATGTTATGAATTTGGCGAATAGTCAAAGCAAGGCTAGAAAAAGTGTAAGATTTTTCCGTCACGACCCCTTCTGACATAGTGTAGACGGCCTTGGCGGCTATGAGGAAGCGAGATGGACTAGTATCCATCTCCCTCGCACTTTTTCTTATCTTGCCATGAAAGAAACATTATTTTATTTTAAATGACGGTTCATTTTAATAGACGCTAGTAATTCATTTATTTGTATTTGTTAATCAATAATAGAGTACGTGAGTGTAATATGGTCATCGGGTTAATATGGTCACTTTCTTATAACTCAAAAACTACAGCCTAATTTGCATAGATGGCTTTGTGATACGATAGCTCTTATTTTTTTTTATCTTTATCGACGCCATTTTGATAGTTGATATTATAGTAAGTACGTGAGGGTAATATGGTCACCTTAAGCTTTATCACTCTATAAAACCAAAATTAGGAGGAGAACAGAGACAAAAACACAAAGTCGTATACTATAACTAATATATTAAGAAAAAAATAGCAAACAAGCTTTGGAAATAATTAGGAACACTTCGAAAAATCTACTTAAAAAAAATTAACTACGCTACACAATACAAAAATCGACTAAAATATTTTCAATAATATCAACTGTCAAAATAGCGTCGATAAAGGAGCGCCTTTTTGACCCTTTATTATTTGATAGACTGATCAAGAGCTATCGTATCACAGTGCGTTCTATGCAAACGGCGCTGTAGTTTTTGAGTGACCATATTAACCGGAGGACCATATTACCCTCACGTACTATAGTTAGTTTTTTAAAGTTGATTTTTCGAAGTAATGCTAATTATTGCCAAGGCTTCTTTGTTATTTTTTTCTATATTAGTTATAGTATACGACATTGTGTATTTGTCTCTGTCCTCCTCTTAGTTTTGGTTTTATAAGGCGCCAAAGCTTAAGGTGACAATATTATCCTCACGTACCATATAATACGTTTATCAATAATAATATACTACGAAAGGAACTTCGTTCCAACCGGTCGTTTGATCGGTTGTACAAAATTTTTAATTTTACTACTTGTCGTATGTAACGTAATAACCGCATTAAGCATGTCCTCCCTTTAGGCGGTTCAATAATACTGTATTATCAGGAATATTATGACCTAATCCTTATATTTTTATAGATTAGATTACGAAATATTTTTCACTTTTGGCTCATCCAACTTTGGATTTTCATAGACATGGGTACAGAGACAGAAGTATCAATTCCTTTAATTCTTTATTATATACCGATCCGTTAGTCATTTTATTCTGTGATATTACTCTTTGATAAACGACTTCAATTCAGTGGCGTAACTACCCAGGGGCTAGGCGGGGCAGTGCCCCGGGGCCCCCAAGCTAAACGGGCCCCACGGCCTCCAAGAACGACGTTCGAAATATGTACTATCCTAGTTGTATAAAGAATTTTGTAGTTTTAACTTTTTGGCCCTGACTGCGAACGGCTCGAACTGAAATCACAAAAATTACTCCCACTTCCAGAAAACAAAATATAACCTTGTTAAAGATTTTTTTTGATTTGATGAGAGATTGTTAATTAATTGTCTATTTCTTAACTAACTTAATGGCAAGTGTCGACCGTCGCCTATTAACAAATACAACACCAGGGAAATTGCAGGCGCGTTGCTGGCTTTTTAAAAAGGAGTAACCATGTTCTTGAAACAACTTTTTTTTTAAACATAGATACATCAGCGACAGAATCACGTTGGAATCAGCCACTGAGAAGCATATCCTCCCCTGTTCTCGAAAAAGACCGCATCCTGTCCCAATCGTCCGACCTATAGTGCCAAACACGGTGGCGATCTTCAGACCACAACCGCGATGGGAGTGTGAGTGGCACCACAGTCCGGATCGGACATTGGTCTAATGAGCCAAGATAGGCGTCAACGGAGACCTGATTTCAGCGTGGTGGCCGCTAAAATCACCAAGGATCACGATCTCTGCGGATGGAACCTGTTGTAGCATGGAGTCTGCAGCGTTTTGGACGTGGTCGATGAGTTGGTCTGTGTCAGCTTTACCTATAGAGGCACCCGTAGACGCGAGGACGGTCGTCGCTGACCTTCAAGAATGCCGGGGCGTCGAGAACAGATGTCCTCTCTGACATATACGCAAATTCCAGCCCGAGGTACAAAGGTGTTATAATTTATCCCCCGGATAGGAGAAGTATCGGCCGGAAAGGGCACCTGCGTTTTAGTTAGAAAGAGCAAGGTCAGCTTCGCCGTCTTCATATGGTACCTAGTGGACTTCGCTAACGTTCGAATAAAATCCCCTGATGTTGCAGAAATTCACGGATAGCGTGGCAGCGGTCACCTTTCTCTTATTGCTCTACTTGCCACGATCAGTACTAGTCTTGAGCGGAATTTTGTCCCCCCCCCCCATCCCCAGGATACGTGAGGCAGCCTGAGCACCCGCGCTATGGAAGAGTGGGGTGCCTTGGGCGTGGATGCTCAGCCAGGGATTCTCCAATACTAGGGGTGCTGGTACCCTCCTGGGATGGTTTCTTATTTAATTACACTACCATGTTAAGGGGAAGAGGGGTAGAAATAAAAATAGTCTCGAAGGAGAAGTAAACTTCTATTTATCTGTAAGGTCGTGGGTCTCCTCGGTTCGAGCCGGTCCACCCATTCAATACATTCATTCATTACAGGTCTTCATTTCATGTCTTACCAGGTCGTGATTCCATCTAGTCTGGCTCACCCGCAAAAGCTGCCGTGTGGCTCTTCCACAGTTATGTTGTCTGCCTATCTGTAATCTGCTTCGTTATTGTTTATGCGTTACACATAATACTTAGTAGTAGGTAGCTTTGCTTTATTATGCCCTGCAATGGGTCAGAAGAAGCTGATGATGAAGTAGTTTTGCACCTTTAAAGTATTTAGTTTAGTTTAAATAGGGCCCCAATTTCATTTTTGCCCCGGGGCCCTTGGTTACATAGCTACGCCACTGCTTCAATTATGGATAAGTACGAATATAAATTTGACTGGATTTAAAAAAAAAATATTTTAGGGCAAGTATATAAAAACATCCTGTGATGTATATCGGACAAAATTTCGGAACATAGGTAATAACCGATATAAATGACTAGATTTTACCCGCGGCTCCGCTCGCGTTTTATTAAATCCGACCAAATATTTTCGCACCATGAATTAAAAAGACTAAAACTTTTTTATACAAATAAAGCCCATGTCAAGTTCTGATTTTTTATCTGTAATATTGGCAAGTTGCATGAAATTCGTAACACGGAAGTTGCTAATTAAAATAGCTAAAAAGAATTGTAAAATATGATATGTTTATTAAACTGATTTACAATTGACATAAAATTAATACAAACTATCTAAGGATACAAATAATTGCACACATCGTTTAACTTGAGTGACGTCACATAGCCAAACCGTGCTCGTCATAAGTGACGAAGATCTTTTCGATGGCGGTGATGTAGGCTGCCATCCGCAAGTCCAGACCGAGGTTATGCGTGGTCGCAGCTCTTGACACGTTCTACAACAAAAATATAGAGTAAGTTATCCGCCCCTGCTCCGCACGGGTGATTTCTGGATCTCGACAACTGCATCACCTACCGTACTCAATTATAGCTAAAAAACATCCAGGTGACCGTGGAAGTACCCCATGAAATTCTATCAAAATTGGCCAAACCGTTTTAGAGGAGAAGAATTAAGAACACAGGCACACCCTTTTATATACACTATGTATCAAACAACCCGGTGATTTTTATGGGACACATAGACGTATATACAACATGTAACAAAAACCCTGTGGTTCCCGTTAAGTACGTTATCAGGATCAGTATTCAAACCTATAGGAATATTTTTTTTTTAAAAACTCAACCATATTTTTTTAAATTTTATTACCTCTCACTTACACTAGCCGATGCTAAAGCTAAGTAAAGCGGGGTCTTTGACAATCCTCTTACGCCCCAGACAATGCAGAGGTAATAAAACCACATACAATTTGCATACAATTATTTTTAAATAAAGTAAAAAAAAATATGATAACGTACTTAAGCATTTATGACAATAAAGTTTTTCTCTCCGGTTCTCTACACTCACCATACGAAACTTTTAGCCATACTGAACACAAACCTATTCCATTCTATTGTAGAATAGAATAGAATATTTTTAAGTGAAAACTTCTTTAGCCGCGTTGAGCGATTTTTGGTAGGGGAAAAACTTATGGGTTCGCGTCACCGATGACCTCGACATGTAGCATGTAGTATAGCGGCCTGTGTACATGTATTCGCATATATAATTGAGTTTTCACTTCTGTCGGCAGCCCTTATGGCTGCCTCTGATTTTTTTTTATTTAGAGATGGGGCAAACGAGCATGTTGCTCACCTGATGGTCAGCGACTACCACCGCCCATGAAAAACTGCAACACCAGGAGAACTGCCGGCCTTTTAAAAAGGAGTAGGCTCTTGTCTTGTAGGTCCCTAAGTCGTATCGGTCTGGAAAATCGCTGGAGGTAATCGATTCCACAAGGAAGTTGTGCGAGAAAGAAAACTTTTTCTAAATCGCACAGTGGTGGACCGCCAATCATCTAGATGGTATGGATGGTATCGCGAATTATGTCGCGATGTGCGATGGTGAAATTGAGCGGCTAGAATTAGTCTGAACAATTCCTCAGAGCACTCCCCCGTGAAAGATGCGATAAAATACGCAAAGAGATGCATTACTATTGCTATAGATATTGATCTGCCAGTGAGTCCAGCCGGTCGGAAAGAACTCGGTCGTCGACGATTCGAGCCGCTCTGCGCTGGATGCGGTGAAGTGGAACGAGCTGGCACTGGGGAGCTCCTGCCCAAAGATGTGAACATTATTCCATGTGGGGCCGAACCTGCGCCTTGTAAAGTTGCAAGCGGTGAGCCGGCATGAAATACTGTCCCGCTCTGCTGAGCATGCTAAGCTTTTTAGAGGCCAATTTGGCCTTCTCTTCCAAGTGACCACGAAACTGCACATCACTCGATATGTCGATACCGAGGATTCCGATACTGGCTGAGGCAACAAGGGGAGTGCCTTGAAACTGAGGGGATACGACAGATTGGTTCTTTTTAGCGGTAAACGCGGAAAATTATGTCTTCTAGGGATTGAACTGGACTAGATTTAGTCGCCCCCAGTCTGAGACTTTGTTCAACAAAGTCTCGACTTCAGATACAAGTTTGTTGACGTCCAGGGAGAGGAGTGCTTTACGCACCGAACGCTGTGTACAAAAAGAGAGCCTAGCAGATCGGTTTTCTCCTTTGCGTCATGGGCCAGTGAGTCGTCCACACTGCAAAGAGATGGCAGAGATGGCTGACAGAAGTTCCCTTGGATAGCCTTGGCGAGAGACCAGAATGCACGTGTTCCCGAAGAGAGGCGAACTAGTTTCTTGCCAATTCTGCCGATGTGCCGATTCAACTTTGCCTTGGCAATGACACTTTTGAAGGACCTGGAAGCGGAATTATACTTCTTTTTAAGAGCGCTGGTGTTTACATCCCTCGACGTTGATGCGTCACCCCAGGCCCGGTAGCACTCCTGTTTATAGCGTGATGCAATTTTACAGGAGTGACAAAACCATGGCTGAATTTTACCTCCGATAGGCACTACAGATGATGGAATAAATAATTCCATTCCCTGAAGTACCACATCAGCGATAGAATCAGCAACAACGTTGGAATCATCCAACGACAAGCAAATGCGCCCCCAAGGGTAGGATGCAAAAAAAGACCGCATCCCGTCCCAATCGACCGACCTAAATTGCCAAACACGGCGGCGAGCTGCAGATCGCAACTGCGATGGGAGCGTGAGTGGCACCGTACTCCGGATCAGACAATGGTCCGAAGAGCCAAGAGGGCATAGACGGAGACCTGATATCCGTCCGTATGAGTTTGATGATTACATGTAACTCTTTTTGTAATTTTTTATTTTTACAACTGATTCGGAAAAGCGAGAAAAATTCTCTGTCTTGGGAAGAACCAGCGAGAAAAGTAAATTGTACAATAAAAATTAAGTATACAATAACAAACTATTTACAAAGTTTATTTTAGAAACATCTCGACAAAATTAATCACCTGGCAAGCGTTCGTCATGGAGTACTCCAGTCCCGAATTGACAATTTGCTTCTCATTGGCTCCTGACATCATGGACTGGAACAAGGGTGTTGGCAAGATCTTCGCGTCAATGTTGCTAGCCTTTAGTGATTTTTCGACAGACTCTGATAAAGTATTTATAAATCATAGTAATTAATATTCACGTGTATTTTATGATCGTGAGATACAACGAGTATAGTGTTTTTGAATAAACAAAATATTATTTTTTATTTCATGCAATATCCACTTCCAAATTATCTTTGATATCCAATATTATAGATAAACAAGTGAAAACTATGTTTATTTTTTAAATTCTTACAATGTCTTCCGATTCTGAGCTACAAGTTCAACATTTCAAGTCTCTAGCTCACCGGGAAGTTTAACAATTACTAAATTTGATCCGAACGGACATACATGAAAGGGAGCTAATAAAAACATTTTCAAGTTGTTACTGACTTGAATTTTAATCTACTTAAATCACACTTCAAAAAATTAGGAAGTGTTTGCACAATGAGGTGATTTTTTGGACAAGCGAGCACTTAATCCAACTAATAGTTGGTGAATTCTGTTGCCAAACCCATAGACACACACGTCTATTCTCGATTAAGAATCATAATGCAGCTATACGTTCTATTTTTACCTCGTTGCTAGTAAAAGGGGTCTCCGGTTTACACACTATATGAAATACAGCTAAATTAAATGCTTCCTTTTATATGAATACTCTGTCGTAACAAATTAGTTAAAAACAGTTATGGTTTTCTAAGCACCTTTAGTGTCGGGGGTGCTCTTTAACTAGTTCATCATCATCATCATTACAGTTCAACGTAAGTATTCAGACGAACAAAGGCCTTCCCAAAGGAATGCCACAAATTTTCTGAGCTAGGTACCTGCATCTGTCGACCTGCACCTCTTACCAAGTCGTCAATCTAGTGGGACCACGCTACACTTCGCTTACCGGTTCGATAGCCCTTTCTTCCCCATCGGTTGTCAACTCTTCTAGCTACTCTTCGAGCTATATGGCCGGCCCATTGCAACTTCAGCTTACTGATCCGTTAGGCTATGGCGGTTACTTTGGTGCCACCGCGGATATCCTCATTTCTAAGTCTATCACACAGAGAAACTAAAAGCATAGCTCTTTCCATAGCTCACTGAGCGACCTTGACTTTTCCGATACGGCGAACAGAGCAAGGAACACATTTAAGATCCATATGTCATCACTGATATCAGACACTGGTTGTATACTCTTGTTTTTAAGTTTCAAGGTAGGTATGCGCGACAAGAAAACATTTCGTAATCTCCCGAACGAGTTGGATCCGTTGACTGATCTCTCGGTCGAAGGGTTTTAGTGATACTTTATTTATGCACGCGGATCTTAACAAAACAACTTGCTTATCATTTAATTTCATACAAATGTTAAAAAAGAAAAGTACCAAGTAGCGCGGTGTTGGAGTCCCGCCAGAACTTGATGCTGAGCTTGCCAAAGCTGACGTGGTTGAGGTTCTTGAGGAACTCGAAGTAGGAGACGGTGACGCCGCCCGCGTTGGTCAGCAAGTCGGGCAGCACCAGCACTGACTGCTTGTGGAGAATTAGATCCGCGGCGGGGGTTGTCGGTCCATTCGCACCCTCCGCGATTATCTTGTTTTTATACGAATTTAAAGTTAAAGGTAGTTAACAAACATACATGATGGTATGTGGCTATCGCAGCTCATGAAAGCTTGCAATTATTTTAACCAAAGAACCTGAGTTACCATTTTGTCATTACAACCCTTCACAAGCACTGAACATGGCCTATGTTCAGTACTTGTGAAGGTAAACTATGTTCAGTATGTCCCCCAAGGAACGCCATTAAGCACGGTCTTAAGCCACCTGCATACAGCGACTTCCTGCATGTCTTACGAGGTCGTCACTCCATCTAGTGAGGGGCCCGCCCTACACGTTGCTTATCCCAATCGGTTGTCGATGTTGAAGTGGAATGTCTCTTACAAAATATCGCCGAGAAGTCTGCATGTTTAAGAAATCTTTCAGAATTAGTATGACGGGGGGAGGGGGAGCAAAATTTAATATTTTAGTAATTGTATTCATCGTCACGTTACAATAATTATTTAGATAATAAAGGAATAATGTACAGTTGTTTTTTTTGTTTTGCAGAAAAAACCAAAATTCTAGTTAATCTTCTCATTACATACCTTACACTGCAATTTTCCCGCGTTTTCTTGAGTTATTGTTTTCTCCATGGCGGCTAAGACCAAGATGTCGCATTTTTCGAAAAACGCCTCGGGTCCCACTTCCTTAGCACCTGGAAAACCCTTGACGCTGCCTCTGTGATTAGCTTTGTAGTCGTGTAATTTCTGCAGATAATATTATTTTAATCACCACATTTAAAATGTAAATTGTAATATAATAATATAAATTGCAAAACTTAATAAAAGTATCAAAATTCATTAGTTTTTCCTCTTAGTATTAACGTGATTTTCTTCATGTATTAGTGCCGTATAAAAATGCAAATAAGAAAGAAAGACAGGAAGAAAAATAATTTATAACGACAAACACCAACACATGTTAGAACAGATATTATAGACTAAACAACTTATAACTACAAAAGTAAAATAAAAAAAAAAACTAAATCTTAAACAAAATGGAAACAATTCAATCATGACATTTATTATGAGTGCAAGTTTGGTATAAATATTACGTGGTAGAGACATGCTGCAGCTGCAGCTATATTACTAGTATAGTTTTAGCATGAATGGGTCATCTTGACCGGGGAAGGATCACGCTCTCACAGAATACCAGCAGAAAATAGCAGCTTACCGCAGCTGTGTTTCGCATGGTGAGTGTAGAACCGGAGATCCTTTTTACTAGAGACGAGGCATCCCATCTTAGCCCTCACGGGTGACAACGCATCTGCATTTTGATTCGTCATCGAAGATAGATATAGATGTCAATGGGCCACAGCAACCACTTACCATCAGGTGGACTGTGAGCTCGTTTGTCACCCTTATTCTATAAAAAATTAATAAAAGGACTACACGCAGACATAAAGAAAGAAAACGACACAATTAACTATTAAGCCCTAACCTGTGTGTCAATCCCGTCGTCGTTCCTAAGGTTGCAGTCTCTCTCAAGCACGGCGATAATTTTCACGCCGTGCTGTTGCAGATAGATAGCTGCATAGCTGCCCACGTTGCCGTACCCCTGAATGATTGCCGTTTTGTTCTGTAGCAAGGAGCCTGACTGTTTATAGAGGTGAAAATTCCGAAGACCTTTTAAGTGAGGAAGAAAAAAAGAATATATTTAGCACGTTGTGCGTAGCCACCGTTCGGCGTGTAGTGGGATATGGGCAGCAGCATATTCCTGATAACACCTCAAAAATAGCCTGTGGTAGAGCCATGCTGCAGCTATATTAATAGTATAGTTGTAGCACGAATGGGTCGGCACGACCGGGGGAGGACCACGCTCTCACAGAACACCAGTGTAAAATAGCAGCTTAATGCTGCTTGTGTTTTGTATGGTGAGTGTAGAGAACCGGAGACCCATTTTACTGGATAAGAGGCATTCTATCTTGTCCTCACGGCTGACAACGCATCTGCATTTTAATTCGCAAACGAAGATAGATGTAGGTGTCTATGGGCCACAGCAACCACTTACCATCAGGTGGACTGTGTGCTCGATTGTCACCCTTATTCCATAAAAAAAAAAACTGAAGTTGCCGAGGCAATTTATGGCGGAAGCTTATGTTCTGCAGTGGACTTTTAATAAGCTATAATGAATGAATAAACGAACCAAGGACTTGACTCTACAATATTATGATTTATAGGTCTTTAAGATGTAATAGAATAGAATAGAATATTTTTTATTCAATATACATTACATGTGTAATTCTTATTGAAAGTCATTTTTTACTTTACCACTGGTTCGAAAAAAACCCTCTGTCCTGTGAAGAACCAGCAAGAAACCCAGCGGGACTTTTTTTTTTAAATAAATTTTACAATATAAATGATTACGAACTATTTACAAAATTTATTATTAGAAACTGCTTGGAAGCGACCACCTCATTCCCAGGGGTTATTATCACCCATGTATTCATTTATACTATAATAACCCTTTTTATACAGTTTCAGCTTAATAAAACATTTAAACTTGGTAATAGAGAGAACCTGTACACTTTCCGGGACCTTGTTGTAATAGCGTATACATTGCCCCAAGAATGAATTACTGACTCTGTGGAGTCGAGAAACTGGCATCACTAGCTTGTGTTTGTTCCTAGTGTTTACAGAATGTATATCACTTTTTTTACTAAAACTATCTTTGTTTTTGTGAACATACATTAAATTTTCGTAAATATACTGAGAGGCCAAAGTTAATATATTAATTTCTTTAAATTTATCTCTAAGAGGCTCTCTCGGTTTTAGATTGTAAATAGCTCTAATGGCCCTTTTCTGTAAAACAAAAATAGTTTCTGAATCAGCCGCATTTTCCCATAGCAAAATCCCATAAGACATTATGCTATGTAAATAACTAAAATAAACTAATCTAGCTGTCTCGACACTAGTGAGACCTCTAATCTTTTTTACAGCATAGGCTGCAGAACTTAAGTCTGCTTGCTACTTTAGATATATGGGGACCCCACTGGAGATTTGCGTCAAGAGTGATGCCAAGAAAATCAGTGGATACAACAGGGCTCAATTCCTCCCCATTTAAAAACACATTGGTATTCAGATTTTGAACATTCGTTGTTGTAAATTTAACACAATTAGTTTTATTTCCGTTCAAATGCAGATTATTAACGTTAAACCAATGCACTAATTTTGATATAATAATAATAATTTCGGTCACAGCGGCCAGTCTCAACGGAGACTCGCCATCGGCGTAGGACATGATTATAGTACCCAAGTGTATGCGCAAGGACAGGTGCACTCTCTACTCCCTCACTCTCATAGTCCGTTGCGACGGCCTTCCGATACGACTGGAGTGAGATCACACACGACGAACAACGGGATTACGTGCTTTCCGAGGCACGGCGGCGAAAAGCGTATTATAGTAGACGCATAGCAAATTTGATGGTAGGACCTTAAAGCCGGGCTCGAGGCCGATTAGTTTCATCCACTGCTCCTCGTGGATAAAATAGTTGATAGTCATGAAGACCCCACGGCCTGTGGCTTCCACACGGCCGTGGATGCCTCCGCCGTTGATGGGCTTGCCCGTAACGCAAGCCGCAGCGTTCAAGTCGTTGTAACCTTTAGGAGTAGTAAATAGGATGCAATTAGTTATAAGAATTTACTGTGTAGTCTGTAGTGGCGGTGTAAGAATATCCACTGCCCCCTATCTTCCCGTGGGTGTCGTAAGAGGCGACACGGAGTAATGAAACAGGACATGGGCAGCAGCAACGTCCTGATAACAATCCAGAACAATAAGAAAGTCCGGTTGTCAACCTGCTTACCAGACGTAGCAACTATGGCGGCTTAGTACTCGTGGATTGGTCATCCACGGTGAACAAAGAGGAAGCAACTTAGCCAGCCCGATGTGTAATGCCGGCCAAAGCTGGCCATTCCGAGTGGACTCGCCTAGCCCACTCCGGATGTGCATACTGTGGCGAGAGGGATGTCCTCTGCCTCTTCCCGTCGCAGCCGAGGTGTAGTAGCCGGGGGAGAGGAGTGACTGTATTGCGAGGCGCCGCTCTTCCCTCAAAACCATAGCCCGAGCTTTAGATAAGATCTCTCGCTGAGGGAAGGCTGGTGCTTCCGAGTGCTCAATTTATCTGGCCCCATGACCTTCGCGTACCGGATTAGGGAGGCGGAGGGTTGGCTTCGCACGTGCATGTAGAGGCCGCGGAAGAAGGCGCGCTTAATTTTCTGGCGCGCCTGACCTCCGGAGAAGGAGTTGTTCTTTTCCGAGGAGGGGCAGCCATGGGACAGCCGGCGTTGGTGAGACCACGGTTATGTAGCTATCAGATTGATTTTATAATATTTTTTTTAGCACAAAACCTACATAATACTTACGTAGTGAATATGAGTCAATTAGGTTCATAAATATCTAGATAATTTGTTAATAGCTTCACTACAGCGCCACCTACCAGATCCTATCATATAGCTATGAACCTTGGTCTCGACAAAACAAATATATTGTGTGAATTTGACCTGAATCCGTCAAGTCGTTTAGATGTTACACGATCACTAACAGACTCACCAACGATTTTACTCTATATTTATAATATACTAACCGAGAGTTTTAACATACGTATCCACTATCCATGACATTTCTCGGCCGGACGTGTTGACATCCGGCGCGGGCACATCTATTCCAGCTCCTGAAAAGTATGTAAGGATATTTTTATTTATTTATTCATTTAGGTACACAAAACAGAATAACATCAAAACATGAACAACATGATTTTCATGTATTGATGTTATAAAAGTGCAAAATTACGATCGGAATGGTGTTCTAAAATATGTGCCCGTAACATGATATTACCAGGCCGGCTGAAAAGTTCGCAGCCTAGGGTAACGATGAGTAATTAGCTTGTTACTCACGTCACTAGTTGCAACACTCAGTAGTATTATAATAGCAATCACTAATTAAGTTTGCTCTCATAGTTCAATTATTTATTGAACAACAAACATCACAATGTCAACCGAATCTGGAAATTCACAGAATTTTGAACACCGCGTCATGATAAAACTCCTCGTAAAGAAGGGAAATATACAGAAATCTATTTTTGAAGAGATGTCATCGGTTCTTCAGGATTCTGCGCCTTCTTATACGATGGTGAAAAAATGAGCCCGCATATTTCAACAAGGACGAGAGAACTGTGAAGACGACCCTCGCCCGGGCCGCCCTGTCACGGTACTGACCGAATAAAAAAGTCGAAAAAATCGTTATGGCCGACCAAAACATTAAATTGTGGCAGATTGCTGAAGAACTACAGATTAACAAAGAACAAGTCGGAGAAATTTTACATGAACGTTTGAAAATGAGAAAAATTTGCGCGCGCTGGGTACCGAATATGCTCACACCGCTCAACAAGCAACGTCGACTCGCAAGTTGCAAAGATTTTTTGGAGCTAGTCGGCGATAACAAGTAATACATTTGGCAACGGATAGTCACCGTAGATGAAACATGGATTCGCCAATATGATCCGGAGTCCAAACAAGAGTCCATCCAATGGATGAAAAAAAGGAGAAAGGCCGCCGAAGAAATTCAAGCTGGAAAAAACGGCGTTCAAGCTAATCGCGACTGTTTTCTGGGATAGCGCGGGACTTTTGCTTATCGTCTACCTACCCAGGGAAATTACGAGGAATGGCTAATATTACGCCAATTTATTGATTCAAGTTCGCGATGCTATTGTATAGAAACGACGTGGAGTGCTATTTCTGCGAGGCCACGTGCTCGTTCACACCGCACATATTGCGAGGCAAGCCCTGGAAGACACGGGATTCTCAGAGATTGGCCACCCTATTAGCCCAGACCTAACACCTAGCGGTTTCGCTCCTGTTTTCCAATTTGTAAAAGTACTTACGGGGCCAAAGATTTGTAGATGACAACGAAATGAAAGCTGTGGTTGATCGTCATTTTGACAAGAAAGATACAGAATATTTTTTGGGTGGGTTAAAGGTATTATATACGAGGTTTGAGAAATGTATTTCTCTTCTGGGAGATTATAATGAAAAATAAAAAATAGTAACCATATATTTTCTTTCATTAAGGTCGCCATATCATATCAGCCGCCCCTCGTAGGTAACAGTAGGTAAGGTACAAATACTTATAGCTTATACCTAGTAGGCATGGGTAATATCACTTTTACCCTGTATCAAATCGTACCTATGTATTGGATATGAAAATCCGATTTTGTATCTATATATTTCAATATCTATATATTTGTTAACATCTTCGTTCTGAAAAGAAGTCAGTACTCAGTATCACATTTGTGATACGCGATTTATGAACAAATTTCCATATATTGATTTATAGATATATTGTATTATTTATGTAATATAAATATTCTTAATGTATCATAATATAAAAAGTAGGATTTATCCTGCGAGATAATGAAATAGAATATTAAATTTAATCGTGTCGTGTTTATGCCATCTAGCGTATAATGTACGTACCACCTTGAGCGTTAATCAATTTTTGTTCGATAAAATCACTTTACGTATAGAATCTAGAAGGTGGCGCTTTTACAAAGTATTTTTGACTCCTTTCCTCTAAAGAATAATATTTTAAAAATATTTAATATTATTTTAATTTATTACACTTAACTTTAGACTCTCCAAAAAATAAGGGTTGCAACATTTATTTGCTATAAAATTAAACCTTTATATTTTATGCCACACTTGTGGTTATGATTAGTGGTTATATTATATCCCTACGCCAAAGGAAATTATCCCATATCTAGAAAGCGGGTATAGTTTTTCAGAATCGTTGAAATAAACTTTCCTTCATAATTTTCTCAATTTTAATTTACATACCAAAAATAACAATCTATTAAATACACAATAAGATCTAAAATAGTTTATTTTGAAAACAGTGCAACACAACAAAGTAATAATAAAATTATACTAGTTGGATATTGAAAATTATGTGTTCTGTAATAAATCGTATGTTACTACTAATAAGGATTAATATTAAAAATATTAAGCGTAAGCGTATCACCTTTTCGTTGTAAAGTAGTCGTAAATCGTAATATCTGTTTTAGCTATATATTCTATAGCGCTCAAGGTTTGTTCGGTATCCGAATCAGTGTATATATTTAGATATTTTACTTTTCGGTTTTGAGTAGATATTAGATATTCTGCGATGACTCATATCAACACCGTATCGTAAAATCTTAATATCTAATACATAGTTAGTTTGTCGTCGGATATATAGATGTTGGATATTGTACTGATATATAGATATTGTATCTATATACGATTTGTATCGCCCACTCCTAATACCTAGTCGATGTTAACGAAATATGTTGTGAAAAATTTAAGAAAATAATAAAAATTTTACAGAAGCATAGTAGGTATATTTACATTTAAATGGTAACCCTTAAAAGTCTTACTCTTACTTACAAAGTATATCTAAAATAGATTTTTTTGAAATTGTTTATTTGATTATTAAATATAGGGGCGACGTATTCTTACTAGACGATTATGATAGGACGTATTATTTCTGTAAAGTATTTTTATTTTTCAATAGTTTTTAATTACATAGGATTTTTATACAAATGGAATGCAAAAATTTTTATCCGAATGATGCAAATACATACATACAAATAAATATAACATTTATTTATTTCCAAATACAACGTAAACATATATAATGTTTTGTAGTAGTCTTATTTCGATCTTTTTAGTATTTTAGACTTAACTACAGTGTAGTTGTTTGCCTGCAAAAGCAAAAAGAAAATTATCGAAAAATTTTTTCGCGATAAAAATGAGCAAATTAGTATGAAATGTTTGTAGTTTCTAACTACTCGTACATAAAAAATAATCCAAGAATACATTTTTCAATATAAGAGTTTATGAACAAATAAAACGAACAAAGTATTTTTTGTGTTTTAAAGACGAAATTCGTACAAATATAAAAACAAAAAAAATGTATAAAGTAACCAATATAATTTTTCTTAGCTAGCTCCAGTGTGTATCGCCGTGTGATTCTCTGCAATTCCGCCACAGTGTACTTTCTTGGATCGATGGCAACCCCTGAAACGGAAAAAATATATAAAGAATCGAGTCATGGGTAAAAATTAAAAAAGATTACAATTTATTTTGTATGAATTTCCCGTCAAATTTACTACACGTTAACTATTTTATTATTCTTATTATACAGTGATTGGTTTTAGCGGGAACATGACTAGCTTGCTACAGATTTATTTATCCTACTTTTGTATTATTGTTTAAATGGTTTGAAGTGAATTTTGATACGTAACAAGTGGTAAAATCAAACATTTTGTACAACCGATTTCAATATATATTATTAAGGATAACTCAAAAACTACTGGTCATACCTTGATCAAATTTATATGGGACCACCTGAGAAAAAAGTATCATCGAAATCGGTTTACCGAGAAAAAAATTAGTCGGATTGAGTACCTCCTCCTTTTTGAAGTCGGTTGAAAAGTGGTGCGATTTGGTTTGGTGAAATGTTTGCCCATGTGAACTATTAGTGGAAACGATGAAACAAGTATTCCGATGGTGATGTTAACCTCAAAATTATGTGTCTGCTTAGGCGCCTTGCGATAATATCATCATCGACCGTCTCTGCTCGATTAAGCTGCCGTTAAAATCTCCCAAAAACTTTGCAATGTGAAGCATCAGCATAATATTGTAAAGATTTTTTTTTTAAATAAAGGGTAATTTCTTATTACTGGACACTGGCAAAAGTACCACAGTACGAGTCCATAACTAAACAAAGACAAAAAATACTACGATATGTTTGTAAGTACTATCCTCCGTTTTATCATGTATTAGTATCCTGTAATCTGCTGCAGGTCACAGCTTTTCCCATTGTTTTTTTTATAGAATATGGATGACAAACGAGCACACAGTCCACCTGATGGTAAGTGGATGCTGAGCCCCATAGACATCTACATTTATCATCTATTAAGAATCAAAATGCAGATGCGCTGTCACCCCTGAGGACCAGGATGAAATGCCTCGTTTCCAGTAAAAAGAGTCTTCGGTTCTCCACACTCTATCATACGAAAAGCAGCAGCATTAAGCTGCATTTTACGCTGGAATTCTGTGAGAGCCAGGTCCTACCCCGGTCGAGCCGACCCATTCGTGCTACAACCATAATATAGGATTTGCTTTAATCATCGGTACTAGTTTAATAGTAGATGGACAATTAAGCTTATTAAATAAAAGTTTATCAAACAGTGAACGAAAAAAAGGTTAAAAACGTTTACTACATTTAATAAATAGCCACTGCTTCCGGCCGTCTTTGAACCAGAGGAATTGAAATCTATGTCTATCTTTTGTCTGTCTTTTCTTACTATATTCTAACAGAATGAAATGTGGTAATGGATTCTCTGGCACTGCCACTACATATCGAATCGAATCGAAGTAAACATTTGAATATATTCACCTCCTTTAGCCCCGCCGAAAGGTATATTTGAGCAGGCACATTTGTAAGTCATGAGCGCCGCGAGTGCTTTCACTTCTTCCAAGTCTACATGATCATCATATCGGATTCCTGTAATAAAAAATACTTTTTACAGTGTTAATATAACATTTATTAATAACTTAACCACAGCGCCATATATCGAGTCCAGATTTTGTGATCTGTTTGGACAAAAATATAGGTACTTTGAATGAGACATTTTGGCAAGAAAATAATCTAGAATTTGTGAAAAAAAACTTGACTACAACACAACTTATTCTTGCGTAGGTATGAACCATTGCCTCGACAAAACAAACATATTATGAATATACTCAATCGATGAAATCGTTCAGATCGCACCAACGATTATTTTATTATGAAAAATATTTTCTTACATTAGGTATATATATATACACACCCACACACACACACATATATATATATATATACATATATATATATATACACATATATATACATATATATATATATATATACACATATATATATATATATATATATATATATTATATATATATAAGAAAATACGTTTTATATAACATAATATAGTATTTCTTATTATACATATAGAATTTTTTATACGGTAAAAATTTTGATTCGTTACCAAACTAAAAGATGTAAGAAAAGAGACCTCCTTTGCAGGGCAATCGGTGAACGCTGTGCTGTGATCTGTACCCTTTAATAATCTCGTAGTCACCGTTCTTGCGCTGGAGCGGGAACTCGAACTGGAGCGAACTGTTGCATGAACCCATGACCTGAAATTTCAATAGAAAGATCTCATGGCTTCCGATCGCTGAGCATTCCGTTTACGTCAGACGTATATAATATCGTCAGTTGACCTGCCTCGCATAGCGAAAATATTCCTTACAGCAGTAGAGTCCCATATTTTTTTTATAGCAGAGGAGGCAAACGAGCTTGCGGCTCACCTGATGGTAAGTGACCACCGCCGCCCATAAACAACTGCCAAGGAAATTGCTGATGCGTTGCCGGCCTTTTAAAAAGGAGTAGACTCTTTTCTTGAATGCTCCTAATTCGTATCGGTCCAGAAAAATCTCTGGTGGTAGTCGATTTCACAAGGAAGTTGTGCGAAGAAGAAAATTTCTTCTAAAGCGCCCAGTTGTGTACCGCCAATCATCCAGATGGTATGGATGGTATCAGTTTTGTCGAGATGTACGATGGCAAAATTGAGCGGCTGGAATTAGTCCAAACAATTCCTTAGAGCACTCTCAAATACGCAAAGAGATGCAACATCTCTTTGCAGTGGCAGGGAGTCAATCCGATCGGAAAGAACCCGGTCGTCAACGATTTCACCTGTTCTGCGCTGGATGCGGTCAAGTGGAAGGAGCTGGCACTGGGGAGCCCCTGCCCAGAGATTTGAACAGTATTCCATGTGAGGCCGAACCTGTGCCTTGTAAAGTTGCAGGCGGTGTGTGGACATGAAATACTACTGTCCCACTCTGCTGAGCACGCCAGGCTATTAAGATGCCAAATTGGGCCTTCTCTTCCAAGTGACATGATTCGATATGCCGACGCCGTGGATTCTGATACCGACTGAGGCAACAAGGGGAGTGCCTTGAAACTGAGGAGATACGACGAAGGGTTTCTTTTTAGCGGTAAACGCGCAAACTTGTGTCTTCTGGGAACTGAACTGGACTAGATTTAGTCGCCCCCAATCCGAGACTTTGTTCAACAAAGACTCGACTTCAGACACAAGTTTGTTCCGGTACTCGGCGATCTTTTCGAGAAATATTGATACGGCCGGTGTATAAAGCATCACCAGTGCTGTCGTCTGCATAGCAATGAATGTTACCGGTTAGCAACATATCATTAATATGCAGAAGAAATAGCGTTAGTGATGGCACGCAGCCTTGTGGAACATCAGCATTAATAGCCTTGTAATTGGAGCATGCACCGTCTACTACGACCTTGATGCTCTGATCTGCAAGAAAACTGGTGACCCACTAGCACAATTTCTCGGGAAGCCCATAGGAAGGGAGCTTTGAAAGGAGCGTTTTGTGCTAATCCCGATCGAAGGCTTTCCAGCATCCAAACTCACGGCTAACGCCTCCCCCTTGGACGCTACTGCCTCCGCCCATCTATGAGTCACATAAGCTAGAAGATCAAAAGCTGATCCACCCCGACGGAAACCGTACTGGTGGTCACTAATCAGCTGGTGATTCTCAAGGTACCTCATGAGCTGGCGGTTTTGATGGTTTTCATTATTTTGGAGAACAAGAAGGTGATAGCGATAGGCCTGTAGTTGGTCGGATCAGAGCGGTTGCCTTTTTTAGGGATCGAGTGCACCAAAGCTATCTTCCATGAGTTCGGGACTACGCCTAGGGAGTAGAAGTACCGGAAAAGACGCGTTAATACCGGTGCCAACTTCGGAGCAAACGTCTTCAGCACAATAGGAGGGACGCCATCAGGCCCACTCAACTTGTTGACGTCAAGGGTGAGAAGTGATATTCGCACCAAGCGCTGGGTAAACAGCACATCCTGCATGGAGCACTTACACCGCGGGATGATCGGCAGTGTGTTCCCCCCGTCGTGCTCGTCGTGCAATTCTGCCGATGTGCTCTGACTTTGCCTTGGCAATGACACTTTTGAAGGACCTGGAGGCGGAATTATACTTATTTTTGAGAGCGCTGGTATATGCATCCCAAGACGTCGATGCGTCATCACAGGCCCGGTAACACTCCTCCTTATGGTGTGAAGCAATTTTGCAGAAGCGACCAAACCATGGCTGAGTTCTGCCTCTGATAGGTACCACAGATGACGGAATTAAAAGTTCCATTGCCTGAAGCACCACATCAGCGACAGAATCAGTAACAACTTTGGGATCATCCGGCGAGAAGCAAATGCGCCCCCAAGGGTAGGATGATGATCCGAGGAGCCAAGAGAGGCATCGACGAACACCTGATATCCGTCCGGATGAGAGGTCAGCAGAAGGTCCAATAGGGAAGGTGCATGATCCTCCATATCTGTGATCCGCGTAGGCGAAGTAACCAGTTGCGTCAGACCATATGCCAAGGCAAAGTCATAAACAGATCTCCGCGCATGATCGGTTAAATGGGAACCAAGCCATTCAGCGTGGTGGGCGTTAAAGTCACCGAGGATAACGATCTCTGCGGATGGGACCTGTTGTAGCACGGAGTCTGCAGCCATTTGGACGTGGTCGATGAGTCAGTCTGTGTCGGCATTACCGCTATGGGACCTATAAATGCACCCGTAAACGCGGGGATGGTCGTCGCTGTCTACGCGCAGCCATAGGATGGACAGGTCCATCAAGACCTTCAAGACTGCCGAGGCGTCGAAAACAGATGTCCTCTCTGACGTATACGCAAACAATCGTATACGTCAGAGAGGTTCGAATACAATCTGAGAGTCTTCAAAGCAGGAGTATCACTCTTTTTTGCTTTTGTTACGCTAAGACAGTGCGATCTATCTAGGGCTACATCACCATTTACCACCAGGTGGGATTGTGGTCAAGCACTGGCTTATAACAACTAAAAAAAAAGATAAAAAATAAGTACTACCACCTAGTCAATACGTTTATAAAGAAAAAAAGAGAAATATTTAAACCTCGTGAGTTGGAGGTCAGATCTTTTATAGCAAAAGCGTGCCTAATAAGAATGAAATCAAGGTCGAACCTAAACAAGGAAATTATACCCATTCCATACTTTTTGTTTT